CAGGTCACGCTGTCCCCAGGGCCAGCCTCCAGCGGCTCAGGAAGCAAAGGTGTGGGCCGCGCGAGCCAAAAGTGGACTCTGATTCACTTTCTTCTTTCATGGCACTATTTTAAACCAGAGAACTTAAGCCTTTGCTAAAATAAAAGCCATTCTCCTTTTGGGGATGCTGAGCATCGCCATCAGACCGAGGTGAATCGGACCGGCACCACGCACAGCCGCTCAGGAGGCAGCGAACCCAAGCCAGCCCGGCGGGCAGGCAGAGCTGCTAGGGTTGGCCACAGACCCCCAGTCTTTGGCCAGCCAAAGGGGTTTTGCCTGTGCAAGGGCAGTGATGACCCCAAGGGGGTCTGGCAGTGCCCATATATGCCTGTACAGCCCCTTGCTCCTCCTCACAACCAGCTTTCCCTGGCAAATCTCATCCCTGTATAATCCCTTGCCACTGAGCCTCCGTCCTGCCTTTCCTGGGGCTCACGCATCAAATAAAGAAGGGGAAGGGGAAATTAAAAAATACATCCGCTTAGCACAAGCAAAAACTCTAGACACTCAGGTGCCCCGTGGCATGTCACTGCCCGGCCTTGCCCTGTCGCTCCTCTGCTTGCGGAGGGTTGGAGTACGCGTGTGTGCTCGGCACAGCTCGGGGGCACTGGAGGCGGAGGGCAATCTTTCCGCAGGAATTTGCACCAGCTGTTACTGGCCAAGGCACTAATGCCATCTGAAAGGATTACAATACTTCAAACAGAGCAGGGCTCATCCCTCCTCGTCCCCTGGTGCCAGTATATGCACTAAGAGGGTCAGCAGCCCCAGAGGAGAAAGAAGTGGGACAGCATCGCGCTGCCTCTGTCCTCTTTCCTGTATCCCCAAACAGCCCAGACAAAGCATCAAGGTACAAGATCCTTCCGTCATGCTTTGGTGTAGTTTTCCTGACCCCAGAGCCCAGCGGCTTGGCTTAGCAGTGCTGTGCATCCCGATGGCCTCATCCCCAAGATACAAGGGGGAGACAGACAGAGCACCATGGCCACACTCTTTGCACTGTCTGAGGAGTGCATGGCGGTGCCAAAATCAGGCTCTTGGTCTCTGGAGAACAGGCTTCGTATCCATCCTGCAGCACATCTTCCAGTGTATCAAGTACTGCTTAGCAGCAAACCAGCACGGACCCTGGAAGGGTCATGTCCCACACCTCCTCT